TAATAATCATACTTAATAAGAGAACAAGTCAAATTAGGTGGAGGCTACGCTTGGAGATTGGCCATTTTGGAGATGGTCTTGTTGTGTTGTGTTGTTTAATTCTTTTATATATATATATATATATATATATATGTACAAGGTAATTAAACATGTTCTACTGATGAAATGGTCCATTCATTAGCACCAACAGTGGTATAAGCAAAACTCCAAAATCCAATTCCTGATATATGCAATTTTAAAAGGGCATTGCCAGGAGTTTATGATTGGATTTTGAAGGTAAGATGGCATGTGACATACTAACGGTCAACATCCAAATGTTTCGATTTGCAGAGGAATTAATTAACTCGGAGTTAAGATGTGAACTTATGAAGATGTCGGAAAAGGAAAGAAGTGAAGTTTGTTGGCAATCTCAATTTTGGTAGCGAAACATAACCAAATATTAGGACATATATATAATGGGTCATGTGATTATGAGTAAGTGAATGCAACTGAATTTCTTGATTATTCGTAGTATATATATGTGCAACAGAACATTCATTCCTTATCATTATTTATTATAGTAAAAAAAAAGGTGGTGGATTAGTTGCTCCACAATCTGTTAAGGATCCTACAATTACCATTTGAAGTTTATTATATCACCGAAATCACTTTTACTTTTTCTTAGAAAATTGTAGCATATGTAACACATTGAGATTTGAACCAAATGCTAGACCTTTTGCTACGCATTGGGATCAATAATACATTGACGATCTAATAGATGAGTAATATGAAAACTTTATTAAGAGTCCACGTAGAAAATGACCACCCTCTAACCTATAGAACCCTAGGTTTTACTCGTCAAAATCTATGTACAGGTAAAGTTCTCGTTTTGGAAGCTCGTAATCAAAAAGATAAGCAAAAAGCTAAAGACACACGTGAATTTTTACTTTCAATTCTTTAATTAATGCCTTAAGATACTTTTAATTAATTAGTATTTTTCTTGTTAAAATCAATATTTAATTTTAAGTAACTAAAAGCAAATAGTTATATATATATATATATATATATATATATATATATACACTAAAGATATAATTCTACATTATAATTTAATTACAAATATTTTAATATATAATAAGTTTATTGTATTTTATAATAATCACTTAAAAAGTCATATTTACTGTATTTTTTTTACATTATATTAATAGCGGAATTCTTTTATATTATTCTAAAGTAAAAATGAAGTTAATCGATCTCATAATAAGTTATTGGTTCAATCACTAGTGTACTTCAAAATAGTAAATACATTTTCTTTAATAACACCCATGTCTTAGATGAAATTATTTAACCTCATTTTTACTTTAGGAGAGTTAAGAAAGCCCGAATAATTAAACTCTCAAACAAAAGGACTAAACACTAGGGATTTCTTAAAATTCGTGCGTGTACTACATTAGCATACATAGCTAGCTTGTTATGGTCCAAGCAGTTGAACCACGAAAAGTCAATAAGTCAACATTACGTTCACATTGATTTGCATAGAAAGAACAATATCGGTGAGTAAAAAATAAAGTAAAAGGTAGAACACACAGTTTAATTAGGGAATGCGAATATATATATGAATGAATCACCTGAGGGATTTTTGAATGGGGTCTGGTAAATTTGGTGTGTCACAATTAGGTGAGGGTGCATGCAGATGAACATTATTAATCCCTGGCCTTGTGTTGAAGCCAATATCTGTGTGGCCATGACCTGCAAAATTCATCAAACAATTAATAGAGTCATTGCTCTTTCTTTATCAGACACCACAGCTTAATAATTCACTTGAAGACTAATTTGAAGTCAGCATAGTCCTATGTGCCAAGGGACTTTTGTTTCAAACGGGGAACAGTACGTTCTAGAGGCAAATCATAGAGCCTTCTGTCACACCCGAATCACCAAAGATCTCAAACAAAGAGAATAATAATAATAGAAGAAACGAAAATGGGTCCTTGAGAAGGAACATCAAATTTCAATTACCTGTGCCTTTGTCAGTGCTCTTCACTGTTCTATACATCTGCATGAACACCACGCATAAAATAAAAATGAGAAGAAAAGTCCACAAGGCTAAGATTACATTATTACATATCTAGATACCCCTTTTGTCCCTAGTCCTTGGTTCTATACCTTCCCCACTACTTGAGGCATACCTAGCTATAACGACTAACAATACTTCTCTCTCTCTCTCTCTCGCTTTTCTCTCTTTCTTTTGTTCTGTCTAGTCAGAAATTAATTCAAAGAGGAAGAAACGGAACTTCACTCATTAAGCTGAAAGACTATGAAGATATATATGGGAATGAATAGTAGCTACCCCACCTGCAAGTGACTCTTGACGTGTGCTAGGGTTAGATCCTTAACATTCATTAACTCTAACACAGACTTCGGCGTTGCTCCTGCAAGTGTGACAAGACAAACTCAAGATTAGACATAACCTAGATTGTTATATGCTTTGTCTCAAGACCATCATCTTTTGCATAGAATAATAAAGAAGCCATCAAACTACTCGTACTCATACATAGCATGTAATTAAACCAATATTGTTCAGGAGACCCTTTTAAAGGAAATTAATTGCTTTTCAAGAAAGTTTTAGAAAAAGCTTTAAACAATGAATTTAGCGATATTTATCTCTCAAATCACTAAATTTTAGCTATTGATATATTACAAAAGTAGTAATTAATCTCTGTGAATCATAAAGATCAGGATTCAAACTCTAAACTTGAGACAACTTAATTAACAGTTATTACTCATGCCCATCAACTTAATTAATCAATTTACTTACTTTCATGACCACCAAGAAGTTGAACCGCATGAACAAAATGGGCATGGAGGGTGGTGGTCCATCTCATCCTAGGAGCTCTAACGCTTCTTTTGACGCCATTAACGACTCTTGCACTTCGTTTGAACTCACGGCCATAGATGTGAGGTTGGAGGAGGTGGTGATTGAAGCTTCTTGGAACAACACCTTGCACTTGTTGATGACGACGTTGATTCAAATCCACGGTTCCAAACCCCAGTTTCAGTGTGGGTTCACGGTGACCAAGGTTGTGGAACTCGTGGCTCAAATCACTTCCACTACTAGCCGAATCAGAAGTTGAACACATGTCGTTGTAAAGCACTTTGCCGAAGCTTCCCACTTCTTTGGCCTCAGAATCTGAAATAGAGGGAGGGCTTATGTTCAAGGAGAGGTCTGGCTCCGACAAGGGTGATAACAAGGTTTGCATTACCGTGTGTGAATTAGTGAACATGGGGATATGCTAGTGGCGAAGACTAGAGAATAAGATCTAGGTCTTATTTCAGGTGGTGAAATATTCAAGGGGAAGTGGATTAATTAATAGGTAGAAGGGATGATGAGAGTTGATATGAAGAGAGTTCAGAGAAGCAATTATGGTGAGAAATGGTTCATAGTTGGCACTTGGCAGAAAATTGAAGAACTGTGGTGTGAATTGGTGAGGGGGAAGGAATGAATTGAAAGAGGTGAAAAGGAAGGGTTTAAGGGTGTGATTATATCATGAGTAACTTATGATTTGTCTAGGCTTTTAGTAGGATCCCAACTAGGGTTGAAGGAACACACAGCATAGGGAAAATTTTAAAGCTGAGAGAGTAATTAATGTTCCAGGGACTACTTGTCACTAGTCAGATAAAAAAATGAAGAGAAAGAGAAAGTATCAGAGTTTTTTGGGGATGGTGGTTTGAACCAAAAGTTAGTGAAAAAGGGTACTAGTTATTTATGGAAGCTGAGAGATTAGTCGTCATGAGAGAGAGAGGAAGAGCCTGGGGCCTAAGGTCTGAATTTCTCTTAATTATCTGCAGGTAATTAAATAAAAAGAAAAAAAAAATAGTTAGTTTGAATAGTATAGGACTTGAGATCTTATTAAATTTTTTTGAAAATGATTGAGTTTAAATTTTGTGATTAGATAAAATATGATAGAGTAAAAATTTCATTAAAGATAATGAACTAGTAATTTTTTTGACAGAGATTAATTATTAATAAAATTACAATATTGATTATAAAAAGAAAAAGGAAAAATAAAAAAATTGAGGGTGCAGCGATATAATGGTGGTTCCTGGCAGGAATAAGGTGTTGGATTTCGAGAAAAACAAAATGGGTACTATTGAATGGAATATTGGAATGGGAATTGAGTCTCTAGTTTGCGATGATGGATCGCGACCCGTTAAAATTCCCTGCTCTTTTTGTTTGTATCAGGGTTTAATTTATCTCTTTTTAATACATTTTCTTGAATTGGAATATTCCCCCTTTTATTATGAACGAGGATTGACTGGCAGGTCCAAAAAATATCCTCTTTCTAAACTCACCCTTACCCCTCTGTTACATGATGCAGATGTGGCATTAAACCTCATCTCCTCTTCAACCTATAACTATATCTTAGGCACACATCCACACCAAGTAATATAAATAGGTTCAAATTCACGTCCTGGACCATGCCTATATATAGTCACGCTATATTGACTGTTAATGCATTAATTTGTAGTGCTATTTTCCAACCCCACTAAATTGAGAAGAAACCACAAATAATATCATGTCCAACCAAATTAACAATAATATACATTTTAAATTCTTCATGAATATCATGCCCAAGTCCAACCCTAACTCAAACTAAAGCAAGCTCTAGGATTAATTATGTTAATCATTTTGTGATTTTAATAACAAGTTTATAAATATAAGATATGTCATTTATATTTAAAATCTATATATGACTACTTATTTATTTATTTTTTATGAGAAATTAAATATACTCTTAAAACTAATTTGGGTCGACATGAGTGTAGAAGGATTTATGTTATTTAATTAAGTGATTAGAATTTAAAACTTTGAATCCTAATTCTTATGAATATGCTGTAACTTTTAGAGAATGTGATTATTTCGTATTTATCAAACTATAAAAAAATTATTCTTAATATATAATTAATTTGAAGTCTTAGGTAATAAGCATGAATGAATGGTATGTAGACTGTAGTGGCCAATAAAGGTCGAGCTGTACACGTGAGAAGCTCTCTAATAACTAGAAATGTTGAAATGAATTAAAAAAAAAAAGAAAAAAAGAAAGAAAGGTTGGTGCAGGTGAGAAATTGTGAAGGAATTAAGGGAAAGGAATATGAGTGTAGGTGAGAGTGGGTGTGATGTCCGGCGACACCAGGTCGCAGACCCACATGCAGAGAAGCAATTTACTCTAACGCGCTTCCTGTTCTAGACAACAATGACCACAATATTTATAACTATCCTTTTCTAAAACCATCATTCATCTCTTCACTACAAGGATTATAAGAGCGACTCCAATGGGAGTTACTTGTCCTTGAAGCAATTCAAGTCCCGGTTTCTTGTCATTGGAAAACTCTGACGTAATAACATAAGTTGCTTGAAAAAGAGAGAGAGTTGTTCCCTCAAGCAACCGTTCCTTACCAGATTTCAAGCAGATCTTATTGAACATATTTGGGAACGTTTTGGAAATAATAATGATAAAAATTAATTTCGTATAATGTTTATGTATTTACTATTACTTTATTTTATTTTTATTATCTACTTATTATGTATTTTTTCTCGTAATTTATTTTCTTTCATTGTAGTGCAATTATCCTTTTTAATAAAAATATAAATTTGGTTCATAAATGATTAGAAAAAAAATTCTAAAAGTTGAATTTCTTAAAGTTTCTTACCATTGGAGTAAATTTGTGTTTGAGTTGCTTAATGTTGACATGACACACTAGAGATCACTTTTTTCATTTTTCAATGTATGAAGCAACTCAAATGAGTTGTTTCTATTGGAGATGCCTTAAGTTTTACTTTTGGACATCACCAAAAAACTTCTTTATTACTAGAGATAATTGTGTGTATATAAATTTATGTTTATCTTTTTATTTAAATGATATAGAACTTTACTTACATCTCAATGATATAATACTCTCACCTTGCATATATGAGATTGTTTATTTAATTATGAAATTGTTTCAATTTAATTAATATTCTTGAATTTAAACTCTAGATATATAGTTGCATTTTTTTTTTCTATATCACAAATATTTATTATTAAAGACAATTTTATTCGAATTATCTAATTGGTACAAAAAGTATATCTAATTCAAACATAATTGGCTTTTGTAAAGAATATATATGATACATACAAAAAAAAAATACAAATACATATTTAAGATTTGAACTTAAAATTATTAATTAAATTAAAACAATTTCGTGATTAAATTGACATACAATCTCTTTTCAATTGATTCATACACAATTTATCTTCAACTGCCTTAAATATTCGATGTATTTACTTTGCGAAAGAAAAAAAAACCCTTCATTTTATTTCAAGGTTGGCTCAAGCAAAGAGAGTTTTATCCGGACCATTGAAATTAGAGATATGGTTCATATGCATTTATTTAACCAATGTGTGAGATCTTACCTCTCTCAAGAATGGAGGCTAATTTGTGGGAACTAGTTTAATACTATCAATTATCAAGACTAAGGTTTTAACAATATATTAGAATTAAAGCTCAAAATGAATTAAATAACTGAATTCAACAGTAATTAAATCCAAATATATTGATTAATTAACGTTAGAAAATCTATTTACTTTGAAAAAAAAAATTATAAAAATTTAATTGGATATTCAATAATTTAAATCAAACCAACCTAATCAAAATTGAGTTAGTTTAATTCATATTAAATAACAAAAATCTTAAAATTTGAACTAGTTAAATTTAATGAATTTAACTTAAATTTTCACTCAAATACGAAGTAATCCTATTCGTGAACACTTCTACTTATACTAATAATATTTAGTATAAGATAAACAATCATAATTGATAATAACTTAGATATAAACTATTATGTCAATTACTTACTGATTTAGTAAAAATAAAGGCATAAATAATTTAATCTTGAGCCTATCATTATGTTTAAGTGCATATTTTGGTTTGATGTCTCACACATACGCCAAGCTGAAAGTTAGCTTATGTGTTTTTCTTTCGTTTGAAGTGAAAATATAAGGATATGTACGTGTAAAATGTGTCCAAATTAATATACTTTAGAACAGATATAAATACTTTAAAAATTGAATGAAATGAAAGAAAATAAGAGAGGGAAAAAAATTTAAACCTTGTTTGAATGAGAGAAACAAAAATAATAAGGAAAGAGAAGAATGTTTAAATTGAAAATGTTTTTACTAAAAATACCCTTTTAATTTTAATATTTGTATATTTATTTATAAATTATATTAGAATTATATAACATTTTAGTCATTTTAGTTTTTTTTTTCATTTTGGTTTCTTTAAAGATTTTTTTGTTTCATTTTCATTCTTGCTATCAAATTGACTGTTAAATATGATGAAAAAAGTTAAAAAAAAAATTATGGGAACCAAAATAAAAAAGAAAAAATTATAGGGACCAAAATAAAAGGACTAAAATGAAAACAATTAAAATTTAGAAGGATAAAAACAAAAAAAAAAATAGAACTAAAGGGATTAAAATAAAAATAATTTTATTTTAAAGAGACTAAAAACTTCTATTTAAGCTAAATTTACAATGTTTAAACTTTAAGTTACACATATACAAAGTAAAAATATTAATTTTTAGAAATCATTAAAATAAATTAAGCCTTAAACATAAAATTCATAGAAGTTGTCCAATAAAGTTGCAAGTTATGAAAGGAAATTTAATAAATGAAGAGCAGCGAGAACAAAATATGAAATATGATAGAGATGTTTATTAATGAATGGTAAATACAAACTTGAAATAATAAATATTTTTTTTTTGTACTTAATGTAACTTTTAAGACATACTAATGTGATTTAAAAAGGATGTTATAATGTAATTTTGTTCATTCTTCATTTGATTTTGCTTATTATTATATGCTCACATGTTATAATTTGTTTTGTTATTTTTATCTTATTTTATGTTAATTTTTCTACTTATTTGTTATTTTTATTTTTATACATTTATAAGAGTGATTGTATTATTATATAACTTTCATGTTGTGTGTTTAATTTTTATAAAAGTTTTTTCTAGTCATCAATGTATTTGTTATACTTGCTTTATTACTTTAAAGAGAAATAGAACTTTAAATAGACTATCTTTAAGCAACTCACCTTTACCTTAAGCAACTCACCTCCCATGTCGTCTTTATGCATTCTGTTCGATCAACTTTAAAGAAAAATAAAATTTTAGATAGACTATCTTGAGAAAAAGGAAGATTTTAATTACTTTAAAGAGAAATAGAACTCACATCCGTGAAGAAAAAAAAAATAAAAGAATTAACTCTAAATTTTTAATTACTTATATCAACTGATCAATTACAATTCAAACATATTACAACGAATAATGCAAAATTAAAGCACAATATTTTGACATAGTACTTAAATTTAAAGGTAATATAATAAAAAATATATATATATCTACGATGATTACTCTTCATTTTACTCGTTCGTTAGGAAGTGAGTTTGTGAAGGGAGCATGGGGAGAAGTGCTCATGAGTCATGAATTGTATAAAGAAGTGCATACCCTTCCCTCCACTGCTTCCAACGTTAACGTTAAGAATTTCAACGCTAGCATTTGTCTAATTATATATATATGTACCATATAATCCTCCTCTCCAATATTCCCTCTCCGTGTTCAAATATTCCATGTCTTATGTCTAACACGCCCTTTACCTTAAGCAACTCACCTTCCCTGTCGTCTTTCTATTTTCATCAGAATCAAAAAAAAAAAAAAATACAAAAAAAAAAAAAAATACAAAAAAAAAAAAAAATACAAAAAAAAAAAAAAATTGACAAATAAAAAGAAGATTATGATAAGACCATCCTACTTAAGGTCAAAATCAACTATTAATCACTTTGAAAATTTTCTGTTCAGATTATGAATCACATACTT